CGGCACTATTGACACCATAACCACTACACTGAGCTGTAGTGCTTATTGTGGATCCGCCACTGTCTCACACTAGGTCTCCCCCCTCTCACACTAGGTCTCCCCGTCACACACTAGGTCTCCCCCCTCACACACGGTGACACCCCTCTCACACTAAGCCACCCCTTCACACTGTCACCCTCCTACATTATGTCACCCTCCCTCACACACTAGGTCTCCCCCGTCACACACTAGGTCACACCCTGTCACCCTCCTCTCACCCTGTCACCCCCTCTTACTCTGTCACCCACCCTGTGACCTCCCAAACTGTCACCCACCCGTACTCTGCCACCTCACTCTGTCGCTCCCTACACACTAGGTCACCCCACCTTACACTTTCACCCCCTCACACTATGTCACCCCTCTTATTCTGCCACCCCCCCTCTCACTATGTCACTCTCCCTCTCACTATGTCACCCTCCCTCTCACTATGTCACCCACCCTCTTACTCTGACACCCCCCTCTTACTCTGTTACCCACCTTCACTATGTCACGCTTCCTCTCACTCTGTCACCCCCCTTACACTAATGTAACCCTCTCTCACTATGGCACCCCCTCTCACACTAGGTCTCACCCTCTCACACGGTCACACCCCTTCTCACCCTGTCATCCCCTCTTACTCTGTCACTCACCCTGTGATCCCCCCACACTGTCACCCACCCGTACTCTGTCACCTCACTCTGTCGCTCCCCACACACTAGGTCACCCCACCTCACACTTTCACCCCCTCACACTATGTCACCCCCTCTTATTCTGTCATCCTCCCTCTCACTCTGTCACCCCCACCACACTATGTCACCCACCATCTTACCCTTACACTCCCCTCTTACTCTGTTACCCACCTTCACTATGTCACCCTTCCTCTCACTCTATCACACCCCTTACACTAATGTAACTCTCACACTCTGTCACCACCCCTCACACTCTGTCACTACCCATCACACTATGTCATTTTCCCCACACACTCTGTCACCCCTCTCGGCATACACTGACACCCCTCTCGGTGCTCACTGTCACCCCACTCGGCGCACACTGTCACCCCTCCATACACATTGTCACCCCCTCCATACACACTGTCTCTCCCTCCAAACACACAGGCACCACTCTCCGCACACACAGGCACCTCCCTTCATTCTCATTGTCAACCCTCAACACTCTGGCACCCACCTCCATACACTCTGGTACCCTCCTGCTCTTTTACACTCATCCTGCCACAGTTACCCCTTTACTTACCCTGTCACCCCCTGAAGGCAATAATTATACACACTGTTATAAAACATAGCTTCGCCATAAACTCAGTGCCAAAGGCCACAGGCAGTACATAAACATACACATGCTCAGAGAAACATACATACATACACAAGGATCCTCACTGCCAGACACACACAGGTAGACAATGCAACGATGTATACAAAGACTAGCTCACTATATCCAGTGCTGCAAGCTCCCCCTTCAGTATATCTACAGCTTCTTATACACACACAAATCAACTGCTATTTTTTTTCAATAATGGTGTTAGTGGGGGCCTCATGTATGAGTTTCGCCTAAGGCCTCGCCAAGTCTAGAGCCGCCACTGCATGAAGGGGTGTAATAGGTCTGCAACAATCTCTAGGTAGGTGGTACGTGTCAAAGTAACATCCACATACAGGACAGAACTGGGTGAAAAAATTCTGAATATTTTTCAATCACAGCGGACCAGTGAGAAGGGGGTGTTTTGTTATAACAAATGACAAGCACGCCTCCTCCCAAAGTGAGCATGTTGGTTCAATGCTCTTCAATGGCAGTCCATGTGCAGAGCCCTACTGAAGAGCTCTCGCATGAGAAATAGCTGATTATAAGCTAATTGTAGTGTCTTGTTTTATGTATATAGGTTATTTTCAGTTGTATTGTGTTTGTAGTGTAATATGTGTGGCTAGGGGCTGTAGAGTGTGAGGCAGTGTGCATAAAGGTAGCAAGTGTGTGCATAGGGGATGTAGTATAGGTGATGCAGTGTGTGGAGGGGCTGTTGAGAGTTTGTTTAGAAAATGTAGTGTGTGTTTGCGTACAGGGGATATAGTGTATCAGGAATGTAGTGTGTGTGTATGTGGTGTAGTGTGTGTCTATAGCAGATTTAATGTTTGTGTAGGGGATCCAGAGTGTGTATAAGGGATTTATTGTGTGTCTGGAATGTAGTTTGTGTAAGTAGTGCAGTGTATGCATAAGGAATGTAATGAAGCCCATGGAATAGCAAAGCTAGGTGGAATGGGCCTTGACAGAGCTAGGAGGCTGGCCTATGGATGAGTGTGTCTGGATTGGTTAGTGGGTAAAAGGGGGAGTGGCTTAGACATATAATAATTCGCCATTTTAAATTTGGGTTCCATTTTAATTTGAAATCTTTACCTGTTGTTAGCTGTTGCTGGCTTCTGGTGGGGGTTTTTTCTTCTTTGTTTTTCAGATGGATTCCGTGGCTGAGAGTGATATGACAGCAATCCTGGAGGGTGTGAAGGCAGCGGTCCGACAGCATGGAGCAGCTTGGATGGAGCAGCAGTTGGGGGCAGCACTGAGCGCGGCAGGGCCGTCGACGGCGCCGGCGCGCAGGACAGCGCGCCGGACCAGGCCTCCACAACGCTTAAGCCCTGGTGCCGGTGCTGGCGCGGTTAGGAGCCGCAGCCCGTCAGCAGGCATGACAGGAACCTGCACCAGGAGAAGTGGCGGCCGGGCTAGGATTCGCGGAGGTGGCGGCCCGGGGGCGACCACACACCACGGCCGTCAGGCAGAGTCTGAGGTGTGCGGTCAGGAGAAGATGGCGCCGCGCCGCCCGGCGGCGGTGAGGAGCGCAGTATCAGCAGAGGCAGCAGACCTGTTACAAGCAGCAGACTCTGCTAGGAGCACGGAGCAGGCAGCTGGACGGAGTAACCGCGGTGAGTCGTCCCCTGGGGCAGTTAGGGCAAAAAGGGGGCAGAAACAGGGGTTGGTAAATGAGGCCCTTGCAACCCAGTCAGGTTCCGCTGAGGATGGGGCAGCCAGCAGGGGCTTGGACAGCAGGGGACAGTCGGCACCTACAGCCTATTCCAGGGTAGGTAGGGAAGCGCCAAGAATACACAACAGGTTGCAGGCTAGGGCCAGGCCGCAAGCGCCCCTCCCCGCAGCGCAGCAGTCACGGGCAACGGGCCAGAACAAGGATCATAGGGCGCTGACAGGCGGTGGGGTCACAGCAGGCAGTGGCATGGCCCCCTCCCGGCCTGGTGCAGGGGTGGGGCGCTGTAGGCCAGCGGATCAGCGGGCGGGCAGGGATTGCCGCGCTCAGGAGAGGACAGATAGCCCCACAGAGTGGCGCAGAGACAGTGGGGGGGACAGGAGAGCTAGCCATCGCTCCAGGAGTGAACGGCGGAGCAGGCAGCGCAGTAGCAGCGGGGAGTCTGCGGATGGTCGTTGCCGTGGCTCACCTGTTCGGGGAGCAGTCTCGCGGGAGAGTGCCTCCAGGTCAATGAGTGGGGGCTCTCCCGACAGGCGGAGCAGAAGTTTTTCCAGGGATAGATATGGCCGTAAGGGCCAGCATGCCAGGAGTAGCAGTCCACGTAGAGGCCCAATGGGTGAGGTCAGGGAGGATTTGGGTTCTGATGACGGCCTCCCCAGTTTTTCTTCTTTCGTTCGCAGGCCATTGGATGTCGGGTCAGCAGGCCGCAGGAGGCCTCAGGACAGCAGGGATTTTACAGCAGCCTCGCCGGGAACATCTCACGGCGGAGTTCGGGATGCAGCCCCAGGAGCAGCGACACCTGGGTTTGGTCGGTGAGTCTCACAGTACACCACACTCTGGAGATTTGTTAGAGGGTCTGAAAACATTTCTTGCATCATGGAGTTCAGGTTTGGATAAGGGGGATTCGTTTAGCAAGGCTTGGTTGCCGGGGTCGTCGGGTTTGGGGTCAGGGGAGAAACCAGTCTCCGAACGGGCCGGGAGCAGTGCAGGTGAGCTGGTAGCAGCCTCAGCGGGGTCAGCAGCCACAGAAGTGGCGGCTGAGAGGGATATACTAATGGGGGAGATTCCAGATGCAGCAAGGCAGAACGTGCATGTGTCGTTTGCGGGGCCTTTGGGGTGTCACCTAAAATTAGAGGTTAAGGAAAGGTTATGGAAAGGGGAATTTGTGGAGATCTTCTCCCTTCTCCCCTTGGAGGAATACCTAGACTTGAAGGAAGAAGACAAAAAGGATCCCAAGAAAGAGGAGGAAGAAAAGCGGCGTCGTTATAGGAAAATCCCGAAAACTTTCGGGAACTGGCTGCGGGCCTTTTGCATACTGGCGAGTGTACTGGGGGAAAAGGCCCCGGAAAAATGCTCGCAATTCTTCTGTTACTTAGACGGGGTGTGGGAGGCTTACCGCACATACGGGGGCCTAGCATGGTGGCGGTACGATGAACAGTTCCGTCAGAGGCTTTCGGCTAAGCCGGGAATGAGGTGGGACCAGATGGACCTGCCATTATGGATGAAGCTAATGATGGCTCAAAAGGCGGCTCCCTTTCAAGGGGGGGCTGGCGTCGGTTCCTCTTCCACCTCGTCGGCTGCGCAAAGGAAGGGGTGTTGCTGGCTCTATAATGAGGGCCAATGTAAGTGGGGCTCCGCATGCCGCTTTAGGCATGAATGCTCTGGATGCGGTGGGGGGGACATGGTTACAACCGGTGTTTTAAGAAGGGCAAGCCCACTACAACAGGCGCGGCCGGAGGCGCTGCAGCACCATCCGCTGCCTCTGGGGCGGTCTCCGGTGAGGGTAGACGCGATGCTCCCTTGGCTAAACAGCTACGGTAAGCGGGAGGATGCCCGTCTATTGTTTGAGGGATTTACTAGGGGTTTCATCATTCCCTTCAGGGATCGGGTTGTGGTTCCCCGTTTCCGTAATTTGCGCTCAGTGGGCGAACATCATGATGTGGTATGTGGTAAATTGCTTCAGGAGGTTCGCCTGGGGCGGATGGCGGGACCGTTTAGGGAACCACCGCTGCCGGATCTTAGGGTTTCCCCTTTAGGCGTAGTGCCAAAGAAGGAGGCGGGAAAATTTCGCCTTATCCACCATTTGTCATACCCGAAGGGGTCATCAGTCAATGATGACATTGACGGGGATCTCTGTTCGGTTTCCTATGCATCATTCGACCAAGCGGTCGAGCTGGTAAAGGAAGCAGGACAGGGAGCGTTGTTGGCTAAGGCGGATATAGAAGCGGCTTTCCGCCTTTTGCCCATTCACCCAAAGTGTCACCACTTATTAGGTTGTTATCTTGATGGAAACTATTTTGTGGATCTGTGTTTGCCCATGGGATGCTCCATTTCATGTGCGTACTTTGAGAAATTTAGCACGTTCATGGAATGGGTAGTGAGGGAGGAAGCGGGCACCAAGTTTGTGGTCCATTACCTGGACGATTTCTTGTGTGTCGGGCCGGCTGGCTCTGACGCTTGCCGCTTTAGGCTACGGTGTCTCGAATGGGTCAGTCAGGTATTTGGGGTACCTCTGGCTCGCGACAAAACCGTGGGGCCTACTACATGCCTGAGTTTTTTGGGGCTTGAAATAGATACGGTCGCGGGGGAATGCAGATTACCACAAGATAAGTTGGAGTCTCTCCGCGATGCCGTTTCAGAGTTGCGTAGGGCAAAGAAGGCGACACTGCGGGCTATACAGTCTTTGCTGGGGCGGTTGAATTTTGCATGTCGCATTATCCCGGTAGGAAGGGTATTCAACCGGTTCCTCGCCAAAGCCACGGCGGGTGTGCGGTCACCTCATCATTTTATCAGGGTCACCGCTCCGATGAAGGAGGATTTGGGTGTGTGGGAGGCCTTCCTGAGGGATTTCAATGGGCGAGTCTTTTTTAGGGAGCAGTGTATCGAATCACCCGAGTTAGAGCTTTTTACCGATGCGTCAGGGAGCGTAGGCTTCGGGGCTTACTTTGCGGGTCATTGGTGTGCCGAAAGATGGCCCGAACATTGGGCGGTCAGCCCACAGATTCGGAACTTGGCTTTTCTCGAATTGTTCCCATTAGTGGTAGCGCTCTCCTTGTGGGGCCAGGCCCTACGTGATAGGAGAGTGGTTTTCTTTACGGACAATGGGGCTGTCGTGGAGGCTGTGAACAATCTTTCAGCGTCGTCGGTCCCAGTAGTGCGGCTGCTTCGCCAGTTTGTTTTGTATTGCATGCAGTTGAATATTGTTTTTCGTGCACGTCATGTTCCTGGATTCTTGAACGTAATTGCTGATGCACTTTCTCGCTTTCAGTGGGAAAAATTTCAGGTGGAGGCTCCGAACGCACAAAGGGAGGGTCTGCCATGTCCGGATCACATGTGGCGTCTCGGGACCTCCTGCTTGGAAGACTGATAATGGATTCGTTGGCTCTGGGCACGTTGGCGGCGTATAGTAAAGTATGGGAAAGGTGGGACGAAGCATTAGGCTGTACGGGGGACGTGGTATCCGCAAAGGTACGTCTCGATACGCTATTATGGTTTCTTTGCAGGCTGTTCGCAGCGGGGGCTTCTCTGGCAGTGGTCGGCCGGAACCTGGCAGCATTGGCGTTCCTCTTCAAGCTTCGTGGGTGGGAAGATTCGACAAAATCCTTTATGGTGCGGCAGGCAGTGAAGGGTTACCGCAAAGGGAAGTTATCACCTGACACTAGGAGGCCGGTGTCTTTTAGGTTGCTTCAACAACTATTGGGTACCCTACCGGGTTTATGTTTCTCTTTGTTCGAGGTCTTGCTATTTAAGGTGGCGTTTGTGTGGGCGTTTTTCGGGGCTTTTCGGGTGAGTGAGATTGTAAGTAGCAACAGGCTTAGACAAGGTGGTCTCCAGTTCGCGGACGTGGACGTAGGGGTGGAACAGGTAGCTATTCGACTACGGCGCTCGAAGACGGATGTCTTTGGGAGAGGTCGTATGATAAAACTATTTTCAATACCTCAGGTGGAGGCTTGCCCGGTGGGCAGTGCTCGGCGATATGGGGAGCTCCGTCCGAAGGGGCAGGGTTCGTTTTTTCGCCATGCGGACGGCTCGGCGTTGTCGAAATTCCAGTTCAACAGGGTCTTTAAGTTGGGCTTGGAACGCCTGGGCCTGGATCCCACGCAATTTGGCACCCACTCCTTCAGGATCGGGGCTGCCACAGAGGCGGTGAGGTTAGGCCTAGGGGATGAGTTAGTTAAAAAGATTGGGAGATGGGAATCGATCAGGTTCCGTTCCTATGTCCGGCCTGATCTTTTAATGTAAACAAATTTATGTTATGGGGTACAATTACGGTGGTCCTGTGGTTATGAATTATTTCTTTTATTTCAGGTGGAGTTGCATGGATAGTAGGCCATTCATATGTCTACTGGGCAGAACGGAGAGCTGCAGTTCGGAGAGAAGGCACGCAGCTCGGCTTTCCTTCTGATGTGTTACGGTTGTTCTGGTTTGGTTTTCGGGGTTTCGGTTGGAGAGATACGTGTTTGGAGTTATTTCGGAAGATAGGGCAAGGGGAAGTCCCCAGATTTCATATTGTTCCACACAGGGGGGAATGATTTTGGTCTGGTGCCGCAAAGGGAATTAGTTCGTGGGATAAAGAGGGACGTGGATAAGTTGAGGTCCTTGCTTCCCGGGGTGGTTATTGTTTGGTCGGAAACGGTACCGCGTTTCCGGTGGCGTCATGCGCGGGATTTCGCAGCTATGGCGAGATATAGACGCAAGTTCAACAAGTTGTTGGCAACTTTTATTAAAAGGTCTGGGGGGGTAGTAGTGAGGCACAGGGAACTAGAGGATATGTTACCAGGATACTTCAGGCATGATGGAGTTCATTTATCGGAGGTGGGTTTGGATTTCCTTAACTTAGGCTTTCAGGACGGTCTTAGACAGGCCCTGTTTATTCGGGGTGGGGGCGCACAGGAGGCTTGAGGTGGTCAAGCTCTGTGCTGTGGCGGGGGATGGATTAGGTTAATTGGGGGTAGGTCGGTTTTTGGTAAGTGGGATAGGTCAGGAGGAATACTTACCTTTAGATTTGGTGGTAGGTTCGAGCTCGGCGGTAGCTACGAACCTGGGGGTGTAGGGGTGTCTCGGTATGCCCCTACACTGGAAATGGATGCCCTTGGTGGCTGGGATAATGGTGTAGGGGTGTCTTGGTATGCCCCTACAGTGGAAAGGGATGCCCTTGGTGGCTATGATAATGGCGTAGGGGTGTCTTGGTATGCCCCTACAATTGGAAATGGAGGCCCTGGGTGGCTATGTTAAGGTTTATGGTATTTATGCTATGTTATACTGTTAGTTGGATGTATTCTGTAAATATGTTGGAGGTCATTGTCTGGGTATTTAGTTATGTTAATTGGGGGGATGTCTTTTCAAGCGTTGTTGACAATGACCTTTTAAATTTATATTTTATTATTTATATATATTTAATAAAGCCGTGGAATATTTTGCCAATTCATTCATGTGTCTGTGATTATTAAAGGTTATAATTGGTTTATAACAGGAATAGGCCAAAAAAAGACGACTATGCGCATGTCATGAAGCCCATGGAATAGCAAAGCTAGGTGGAATGGGCCTTGACAGAGCTAGGAGGCTGGCCTATGGATGAATGTGTCTGGATTGGTTAGTGGGTAAAAGGGGGAGTGGCTTAGACATATAATAATTCGCCATTTTAAATTTGGGTTCCATTTTAATTTGAAATCTTTACCTGTTGTTAGCTGTCCCACCCACCCTCCCTAATTTAGTTGGTTAAGGGCTAAGAGTCATGACTCTCCCGTTTTGTCACGGCGGCGGGGGATGGATTAGGTTAATTGGGGGTAGGTCGGTTTTTGGTAGGTGGGATAGGTCAGGAGGAATACTTACCTTTAGATTTGGTGGTAGGTTCAAGCTCGGCGGTAGCTACGAACCTGGGGGTGTAGGGGTGTCTCGGTATGCCCCTACACTGGAAATGGATGCCCTTGGTGGCTGGGATAATGGTGTAGGGGTGTCTTGGTATGCCCCTACAGTGGAAAGGGATGCCCTTGGTGGCTATGATAATGGCGTAGGGGTGTCTTGGTATGCCCCTACAATTGGAAATGGAGGCCCTGGGTGGCTATGTTAAGGTTTATGGTATTTATGCTATGTTATACTGTTAGTTGGATGTATTCTGTAAATATGTTGGAGGTCATTGTCTGGGTATTTAGTTATGTTAATTGGGGGGGGATGTCTTTTCAAGCGTTGTTGACAATGACCTTTTAAATTTATATTTTATTATTTATATATATTTAATAAAGCCGTGGAATATTTTGCCAATTCATTCATGTGTCTGTGATTATTAAAGGTTATAATTGGTTTATAACAGGAATAGGCCAAAAAAAGACGACTATGCGCATGTCATGTCTGTGTCTGGAATTTAGTGTGTGTACAAGAGTTGTAGTATGTATAGGAGAACTAATGAGTAGTGTTAAGTTTGTGTGAGGGGTGCAGTGTATACAGGGGTGCAATGTGTGTGAGAGGTAAAATGTGTGAGGAGTGTAGGGTATGTACAGCTGCAGTGTGTAGTGTAGTGTGTGAGGTGTGTGAGTTGGGGTTGTAATGTATGTGAGGAGTGTAGTATAAAAAGTGGTGCAATGTGATGGGTGCAGCGTGTCTGAGAGGTGAAATGTGTAAGGTGTGTACTGGTATAGTGTGTGCAGGGCTGCATTTTCTGTGCAATGAGTGCAGTGTGTGTGAGAGGGGTGCATTGTGTGTATATATTCTTATTCTTATTCTTATTAAAAAATGAATAAATAAACTTTATATCCCCTTCCCTTCTTACCTTTGGCCAGGGAGGATGGACATTGCAAGACCTGGTGGTGGTGAGTGCCTCTACCTACAGGTCCTCCTTCTAGAGATCACTCTTCTTGCAAGATCCAGGACTGTCTGAGTGTTGCCATGGTAACTGTGGCAATGCTCCAAGCTCAAAAGAGGAACATTCAGATCCCAGTGAAGCTGCAGGATAGAGCCCCCCAGGTCCTCCTTCCCTCTCCTCTACAGATTTATGTGCCTTTAGGCTGGTGAGGGAGATCTTTGATCTGTGCCATCTGTGTGCCTATAATGGTACACAGCAAAGCTGGTTGGATAGTACTGGCTCTGCATGGGCCAATAGGGGAGATCCTCTGAGCTCCTCTGTTGGCCTTGGCTCATGGTTATTGTGGCCCACCAGGTAAAAAAGAAAAGAAAACATGATTCATCAGACTAGGCAGCCTTATTCAATTTCTCCATTGTTTAGTTCTGACGCTCACACCAGCACTGAAGGCACTTTTCAGTGGTGGACATGGGTCACCATGGGCAATTTTAGCTATAGTACCTCTCCTGTGTAATCAGACTAGATGGGCTAGCCTTCGCTCCCCATGTGCATCAATGAGCCTTGGGCACCCATGACAACGATGACAGTTCACCAGTAGTGATGTACCGAACGGTTCGCTGGCGAACGGTTCCCGGCGAACATAGCATGTTCGCGTTCGCCACGGCGGGCGAACATATGCGCGGTTCGACCCGCCCCCTATTCGTCATCATTGAGTAAACTTTGACCCTGTACCTCACAGTCAGCAGACACATTCCAGCCAATTAGCAGCACAGCCTCCCTAGCAGACCCTCCCACCTACTGGACAGCATCCATTTTAGATTCATTCTCAAGCTGCATGCTTAGTAAGAGGAGG